GGAGGGAGGGAGGGAGGGAGGGAGGGAGGGAGGGAGGGAGAGGGCGTCTGCGCGGTCCTCGCGGGTCCTCGCGCGCGTGCGCTCCGCGAGCAGATGCACGGTGCCATTAATAACGCGAAGGATCACCGCGGCGGGGCTAGAGTCGCGCGGAGTACGAACGAAAACGAAAATAAAAAAGCGACCTACAATAAAAGGAGCATGCGTGGCGCGAGGGGAGGGGTCGCTCTATGAGGTGCCGGTTCTGCACAATGCACTCGATGAGGTGCAGCGGCCCACGTGCCGCCGGCGCGTGCAGCCTGCACAGCCTGCACCGGGCCGCGCAGACCCTACCGCGGCTCTGGGTCACGATGACCACCCCTTTGAGTCCAGCCGACCGGTTCAGCGAACGCGACTATTTCCCTAATCGAGGGCGCGGCTCGCGGGCTCCACGCGCACACCGGACCCGACCTCGTCGCCGCGGCTACACTGTAAAAAAGGGGCCGTTTAAAATGAAAATACGGCCATGTCATCACATACACTGATAAACTAACAAGTAAGTGTGCAAGTGCAATCGCTTCCCACCTTGTAAGTGTGCAACTGCAAGTTGAATACTACTTGCAAGTTTGCGACTTCGTAGCTGTACACTTGGAAGTGTTCAACTCGGTAGATGTGCACTTGCAAGTGTGCAACTCCTCTGTTAGAAACTTCCTTTGATTGAACGTTCACTGTGTAAGGAAGTGCTTAACAGATGAGTTGCACACTTATCAGTGCACAACTTCTGAGTCGAACACTTGCAAATGCAAGTACACTGCTGCACGCAAAAAAAAAAAAAAAAGAATCATTGTACCAACGACATGAGTTGCACCTCCAACAACATTTTGTTCTTGGAATGGCTTCAGAAACATAGGATGCTATTCCAACGACCATGATTGCTGGCTCAACGACATGGTCGGTGGCACAACTACCGGCTGTCATAGGGTTAGCAACATCGTGTCTTTGGACCAACAACCCGGCCACAAGAACACGACGGTCGTTGGAACAATGATTCTTTTTTTTCAGTGTGTGGAGTTGAACACTTGCATGTATTTAACTTGCAGTTGCACAGTTACAAGTGGACCAATGGTCGTTGGGGTGGATGAACGCGGGCGCGGACTGCCCCATTTTGCGTCTGAGAAGGGGCACTGATCGAGAGTTGCGAGTGGCACACCTCCACCCGCGCGATAAAATCGAAAATTATCCGCCCACCCTATAACAACCATCGGTCTAACCGCCGCCAACGTTGAACGAACCTCATGCTCCTGCCTACTATTTAGTGAACATTCCCGTCTCCCTCTCTCCCCCCCCCTCTCTCTCTCTCTCTCTCTCTCTCTCTCTCTCTCTCTCCCGTCCTCCCCCTTTAACCCTTTTTTATCCCGGAGTCACTGCTTTGCATGCACCGCCGCCGGACGGACAGTGGGCAATCGCCATGCTGATTCCCACCCCTCGCCTCCCCACCCCTTCATCCCCCGCCCGCTCCCCGCCCCCTCCCCTCCCCGCGCCCGGTGCAGCTCCCGGGCCGGCGGGACCTCGCGCCTCGCCTCCAGCCACCCCTCACTCTGTCGCCGCAGCTCGTCGGGTGAACGCGACGCTCCTCTCCCCCCGCGGGCCGGACCAGGACCAGACCGCGGCGACCCGGACCTGGCCCGGCCACCCGTTTTGGATACACCTCCCGAGCTCAGCGAGCGGTGAGTGACGGCGTGCCGGACCATATCGCACCGATGAACCAAGTGCGCAGCTGCAAGTTGAATACTACTTGCAAAGTATTCAACTGCATAGTTATACAGCCGCGAGTGTTTCTCAGTGTAGTCGCACACTTAAAAGTGTACAGTTACCGAGTCGAACACTTGCAAGTG